GAGGCACAAGATAATGGAACTCCTGTCCTTATCCGCCATCTCAGTTTTCTCTAATTTTCTTAGGCATGAAGGCATAGATTCCTCAAGCTTCAAAGCATCAACACATTTCTCTTGAATTAAAATTGCTTGCATATTTATTTTTCACAACCCAAAATCGTTGTATCTAGAAAATTTCTCGATCTCCCATTTACCCATGGTGTTCACTTGTAAACGACACCCCTTTTCACCACAATAGGCGCCACTTGTTATGAAATTGATAGAATTATTAAATCTCTTTTAGAAGAAATTATTCATAGTTCAATAACACCAAAAAAATTGACGTGTGAGACAAAGAACAATGATAATCAAACAAATGACCTCAAGCAATAATAACCTTTAATGCAATAAGAAAGTGAATTAACTTAGTAGAAGAAGATAAAAGAAGGCGAGAAACACAAAGGTTTATTTACCCAGTTCAATTAAATGATCTATGTCTGGGGTAGAGAGCAGTTCTCCAATTCACTATACTCCAAAAGTTGTTACAAGAGATTACAAACAGGTTACAAGAAAATAGCCTTCCAAGTTCTCAAGAACAAGCCTTATTTTCTACCCAAGTATTTCCACACCTCTCCAAATTTCAATATTGTAATCAGACAAACCCAAGATGTTTAGAAGTATTGCCTGATCCTTCTAGATAAATCAAAAGGTTTCCCTAAACCCTAAACCCTTATTTCTACCTTTAACTCTAAAGCTCTCAAGATTGTTACACAAAACAATAACAGCAAATATATTACAATATATACTTAACAAAGCCCAAAACACAATCCATTAACTAACAGACTCGCAAACCAGCTCTCAAATATGTCAGTACCGAAAAATGTCATTTTTTCTATTTCCTCACTTATGGTTTTAAGACATATTATAAAAAAAAATAAAGACTGTTATTTATTTCACAAACACATTCTCTCTATCAAGTCAAACCTATATAAAAACTTCATAGAGTATTGATTTTATGAGTTCTATTTAGGTGTTGTGTGAGACTTTTTTGATAACCAATCATCTTCAACCTTGATCCAAAAACTCCATCATTGTGGTACTCAATTCTAAAGATTGAGTGTGAGTGATAGTTGCAATGCACACTAGGATACTAATATTTTTTTGTGAAGTTTTTTGTATGTATCAAATTGAAGAATCGGTTTGCGACTATGGTGTCTAGAGACTGACTTCCATAAAGAAAAAGATTAACTTCTTCTCCAAATAAAATGTTGCTAGGGTCGAGTGAAGACCGCTGCAGACGAAGTTTTGGAGTTTCTAGGTTCCTTCAATAGAACATAAGATCAGGAAAGAGAGTTATGGTAGGGTTGAGTGGAGACTATTGTGGATGGAATCTTGGAGCATAACTTTGGTTATAGGAAGGTGACTAACTCAAGATCGAGTAAAAGTCTCATGAATTTGAGAGTTTCTAGCGTTCTGCTTACAACATAAGGGAAAACTAGACTCAGACATATTTTTGCTTAGAATTTTGGCTTGAAGTGTTCAATGTTTTCTTGATTGTCCGTTGTATCAAAAACATTTGTATTAATTAGTAAAAATAGTGGAAAACCCCTACAAGATTTCAATGGTTCCCCATTGAAAAATAGGATATGTGTTAGGAAGGACGAATGCACTAAACCAATATAAATCAGGTGCAAAATTTCTCTTTCCTTATCTCTATTTTAAACTTTAATATATATTTATATGATCTTAGGTTTCATCACTTTTTTAGAATCGCACATGACTAGATTTTAGTGTAAGCGTAGGTTTGTGATAAATTCAGTCATTTAAATCATTTTTTTGGTAATTATAATTCTATAAACTTTTAATGTTAGATTGACTCTCTGATTAATAAGATTCAATGTAGACGTCTCATATAAATTAAATTCAATTAGTTGACACATTGGTTGTTTAACGCATATTCTATACAAAAAATAAAAAAGGAGATAGTTAGAGAGAAGATTGCAAAATGGTTTATAATGGTTCAACATGTTGATCTTCACTTTTCGCCTAATCCATTCTCCAATGACAGACTATTGAAAATTCGTAGTCTTCCGCTAATTTGACAATTATACAATCAACGAAGAAGATGTTGGAACTAAAAAAAAGAAATTAGCAATGTCAATCTAAATCTCTCCTTCTTGAGTTGTACACAACTCACACAACTGAGTTCTCCAAGACCTTCACTAATATTGGTTGTCCTCTTACTCAGATTCAAGATCCGCTTCAAGCATCTGTTCCTCAACAATCTTTCCTCGATCATACCGGTCCCATGTGTGAGCTCTTGGTTCAATCTAACGGGACATAAAATCCTAACTTCTTTTAGCAATTACTTTCTTTTGGCACTACCAAAATCTTCGACGGAGAAGAAATCTTTTTCTTTTGCTCCTACTAGATTGTCAATTTCCATAAACACCATACAATTCTAATCTTAACACACACTTCAAGAACTTCACGAACATCAATGATAAAATACCCTACTCTATGACAGATATCACTCTCTTTAAGAATTGAGAAACAACAAATTCATGGTATCTTAAAGGTTAAAGATGAATGCAGATTCAAAAGAATATTGTGATTTGGTATACTTTAAAAGCTAAGAATTCTGTTTTGAAAACTCTTAGAGTTATGATGTTATTACTCACATCTGTTGAAAAATGACACAAAATGAATTATATATGTGCTTGAGATAGAGGATTAAAAATGGAAAAAAATATCCATTTGATTCAAGTCAATTGTAGTTTATGTGATTCGAGTCAAATGAGAAATGACTTGAGTCAAGAACTTTAAAACCCAAAATTTTGACATTTTAGTTCAAATCATGATTCAAGTAAGTGTTTTGAGTCATGAAAAACTTTGTTTTGAATCAGACTTACAAAACTGAAATCCTGATTTTAAAATGTATTTTTGATGCAAATCAGTCTTTAGCTTGATTCGAATCAAGCTTGCTTCTAATTTGAGTAAGAAAAGCTTGTGATTCGAATCACAGTGGTAGTGGGAAATCCTGTTTTTCACATTTAATTTTTGATTCGAATCATGTACAATATTGATTCGAATCACACTTATAAAATTTGAATTTTTGAGAAAATTGAAGTGTAATATTGAATCTTAAACTAGTATGAAAAGAGCCATTCATTCATGGATTTTTTGGTCCAAATAATCGACTAAATTGACTTGAACCACTTGAATCGACTTTTATCTCAGAGTTTGATTTAATGCATGCAAAACACGATTTAATGCAAAACGCATATAATGCCTTGCACTCAATTTTAAAAGATATACACAAACCTAAAATAGAGGAGACTCAAAAATAAAAATAAAATGATAAACAAAAATATATAAAACTAGACAGGCAACAAAATAGAAACCCTAGAGGGACAAAGCATCTTCAGACGATTGTATATAGTATAGTGCCCTTTGCCACGACTGCGACCACGACCAAAACAATGTTTGCAGAAGCAGTGGACACATTTAATTCTTGCATAAATTTGTTCAATTAAGCCTCTTGAATGTAAAGAAGAGCTTCAACATCACAAAAGCTTAATGAATGTGTACTTCCATACTTCTGCATTACAAAGAGATTGTACTCATAAGAAAGATCATAGAGTATGGTATCAATTTGATCTTGTTCTGAGATTAAATATCCAATTGCAAGAAGAGAATTTGCAATTGCTTTAATTCTCGGCACAAACTCAATTATGGAGCGAGTACTTCTCTTCGTGACTTCAATTCAACTCGTAAATGATGAAATCTTGCTTTCATACGAGAATTGAAGAATTTGCAAATCTTGTCCAAAATCTCATACGCATGTTTGCACGAGAGAACCTGAGTAGGAGCGATTCAGAAATTGTAGATAATAACTAAATAAATAAACCATGATCTTGCACAATCTAAGACTCATACTAATCGAAAATGGTACCTTATTGACGACGTGGAAAAAGTAGATGAAATATTTTGTGATTGATTTGGATCTTTGATTAAAAAAACTTGAAGTTCTAAAGTTTCTATTGATGTTTTCCCCACATAAACGGCGTAACGAGCTGAGAATACTATTAGTTTTGTTGATTACACTTTGAATGTAACACAAAATGGTTAGACAACCAAACGTTAGTTGACCCAGTAGTAATGACGTCGGACTTGGTAGGAAAGACTATAAATCACAACTGCAATTGAAAGCGAACTGCAGAACTGACCTCCAAATTGATGAAACTAATGATGATAAAAAAAGGTAGTTATGCAGTAACGAAATGTATTTGAACTAGACCAACGACTGATACCATGTTGAAAGAGAATTCACCATATCATATCATATAGTGATATTTTCATTATTGACTTTTTTTTTTTTTTAATATTTACAGTTGTATTTATGTTAGTTTTTTCAGTACAACCGATAAACCATTGGCTTGCCTTTATTTGCTTTTAACATGGCTTGTATTAATATACTTCTAACAAACAATATGACACATTTAAGTTAATAGATAAATCTAAAATTACTTATCAGCCAATTCATACACGATTCTACATTCCGTATAGAACACAAATCTTTCATCCATAAGTAGTTCCAAAACTAATCATAAGTCAAACGAAATGACTTGTTTGAGTGTTTGGAAAAATTCCAATTCCACAGTATCAACGCACAATTACATGTCTTTGGTGATTTTTATTGTGAGAAAGAAAACAATACTTCAATGTTTCACATGTTATTAAAATAATAGTAATTTTGGGAGATTCATGTACACACCATAAGATTTATTGTCAGTATACATCAATTCAAAAAAATCATCAACTAAGAAGAGATATAATGTATCATTTTCTCTCAACTTCGGTAGAAGACATATTTCTTGAGCTGGTTTACCTTCACAAACAAAATGCAACCTTTCTTTTACCTATATTGAAGTTTTATACACGTATGTTCAATTGTTTTTGATATGCCGTCAGAATCGCTTTCAAATGTTTTTTGCTTCTGAATATTCACCTTTGCATTTGCATTATAAATAGAGAGACGGCGATTTTTTTAACAGAAGGATTGCTGCAATTATCAGCACCCCTACAGAGCACACCAATGCCTGCAAGTTTATCACCAAGACAATTTAGACATCACTCAAGCAAAGTGAAAAACAAAAACAATGTTAACATTTGCAAATGCAAGCATTAGCAATAGATAGACACACAAATAGTTAGGAATGAAGCGGAGAGAAAGGGAAGAGAGATTACAGCAATTGCAGAGGCTCCTAGCCCGGCCCGTTCCCTAGGGTCCTTCCGATAATAATTGCCAAAATAAAGAATTGTTGCATAGAACCACATAGGAGGGCAAAGAAATCCAAAAAGAAATCTGCAATTTAACAAACATAAAAAATCTGCAATTTAACATAGCAGCAAAACAACACGAGGAAATGGGGATGTTAGTTTGATTAAAATTACTTACGAGAACCATCCAATTCCGCATCCAAAACATGGGAGGGGCTTATCATAAATTCCTGCCTGGAAGTCCTCTGGATCTCTAATTAAGCCATACTTTCCCTTTCCATGAACCATTGCATCCACTGCTTGTCCTGCCATGACAAAAAAATTGCAGGTATTTATGTTAAGGGGCGAACAAAGAATATAGTAAAATTTAAGCGCCAGTTTTTGGATAATAAAAAGAAAATTGGATTTGTATTGTTGTACTTAATGAGTCAATACTGCACATTATCCCTAAACTTGTTATCCAACCCTGTCTCGGACCTTGTCTTTTCAAGGAGGAGTTTATTAGCATATTACTCATAGTACATGATAGAGTAAGTTGTTAAATTCTAGTAAGACATGTCATGACACTAAGATCAAAGCTCAAATGACAAAGGGTGAAGGGATTCAACTATTCAATTTAGTGGAATTTGACATAGTGCCACTGGAAATGACATGTAGAACACAGAAAAGTTTTCTTCATCAATTCTACAAAGAGGAGCTTGATCTATATGATGTAGAAATTGCAAAGGAGAATTGAACAAGCAACACACTTAAGGAATATCTGCTAACTTTGTTTCATGTTTGAACAATTAGGTTAGCTATAAACTATTCAGCAACATATATCCTGTCCCTAAATTGAAAAAAGGAGGACGATTACAAGTACATCGGTAGGAGCCATTAACATACTATTTCTTGCTCTGCAACAGACCAAATTTGATAAAATAGTTTTGATAATACTAAATCATTTAAGTGTAATTGTTGAAATTGTGATCTCTGCATCTAGATTACACTCACCTCAATTTATAATAGCATATAGAATATATACAATAAATACGTAGTTATATGATTTCTTAATTCAAATCCTAATCTATAATTATCATCCTAATAATGAATATTAGGATTTGATTCTAACACTCACTCCTCAAATTAAGGCTTACCAAGCATGTCAGAATGGGTGGATGTATTGTAAAGAAAATAGAAACAGCAGGGTTGTAGCCGTGGCTTAATAAAGTGGTAGCGCGACCAGAGGTGACTAGAGCGAAGACAATTGGGTTCATCATAGGGATTCAAAGGTGACTGTGGTGGTTGTCGAAAAGGGGTCTCACACTCACTAGAGAAAGTGCAGCTGGTTGAATCAAACTTTCCTGGATGAAGTATAGTAAATGCGCACAAGACAGAAGCATGACAAAAACATCTACCAGATGAGAAGAACTAATAAGAGATCACAGCAGAGTCAAGTAATAGCAGATCCTTGTAAAGGAGAGAGAAGAGGAGGCTCATTAGCCAACTACTGTTGGAAGCTGTTGACTAAGTGGAAGCTGTGATCGAAAGAGACGAAAACCAAAGATAATAGGAGGTTCACAGAAAATAGATGCAGAAGTGTTTGAACAATATGGAAATTTGATGAAAAAGTGGCAGATGCTACGTTGAACATCACACAAGTCACATTATCAGAACTTGCTTTGAGATCATGCTGAAATTGTGATTCATGTCCAAATCAAATCACACACCCCTATTTATAATATCAATATATAATAAATACTCCCTCAGTTCCTTTTTAATTTTCATTTTTTGACTTTTTATGCCTAGCAAGAAATCCAATCATTGTTATTACTTTTTAAACTATGACTTTTCTTTTGCCTATAGTACCCCTAACTTTAATTATTTTAATATACCTTTTTCTCTCTCCATCATAAATAGTTAGGGGTAATTTTGACAAAACTATAAACATTATTGTCTTGAACTTCGAAAACGACAATTAAAAAGAAACATAAATTTTTCATAAAAGAGACACCTAAAAAGAAACGGAGGGAGTATAATATATGCTTGTTAACTGATATGATTTGCTAATTCAAATCCTAATCTATGATTTCAATTCTAATAATAAATATTAGGATTTGATTAAGAGTAATAAGGCAGCTTAGTTGTTTGGAGAGGAACATAGGAATTGGAGTCATGAAGAGGTCATGGGGTCAACTTCCTCCACTAACAAAATAACATCGAACAACAAACATTTGACATTTAAAAATAAAATAAAAGAGATTCGATTATTTGTCTCTGGCAGTAAGGAGTACTTAAGTAGAAAAATCATATGACACATGACTACTATTGTTACCTTTTGAATTACTCCGAGCAAAGGGTCTTAAAAGATCAAAATGCTTAGCAGAAACGTCTCTTACCAATTCCACCCCTTTTCTCAAACCAACATTCTCTTCACCCCTACCATCTGCTACAACAAAGGAATCCCATTAGAAAATGCTTTTCAGATATGCATATCGCCAACTCCTCTCTTGCTCAATCATCCAAACAATGATAAACTAGGCGATAAGCTTGGAGACTAGACTAAACCGGTGATTATTACCATCATACTTTTCAGTATACGTTACTTTAATAAATTCTAGTTTCTTAACTTATGTTGAATACATTTGCTCTCATCACAATCTGGCCATAACGAACATATTATATTATGAAGTTTACAGTTTTTTGCCATTTTGTTTATAGCTTGTAAAATGCAAACAACAGCCAGGGTTCTAACCTAATGTTTCTAACCTTAGAACCTAACAGCTCAATCATCCAAACAATGATAAACTTGAAAGCTATTATCATAAGCAGGAAGGATCTTAACATCTGTGTAGAATAGACAAATCATGGCGAGGAGAACGACAACTTTAATCTAATAGTAATAAGCATATGCAATTGCATTGACATCTATAGTAACGAACTAGTCTGTTTCTAACTACGAAAATGATTCAGTTTCAGTACCTTTATCCATTGATTTTGCAGTTAATCTACACACTAAGCCTTGAGCTGTTCAAAAACCACTCAAAATTCCTGTTTTACAAAATTAAACACATTAATAAAAAGATCAATTGTGAGCATGTTTCCACTTAGAAATCAACCTCTAGTTTAGCTAATAAGAAAATCTTCCGAATTGATTAGTTGATTAAGTAATTGATTAAAATACTAATCATGTATTATACTGTAATGATAATCCAAATTGAAAATCAACCTCTAGGTTAAACTAATAAGAAAAATCTCCCAATTCAGGTCACATGAATCACACTGAAATTGAAATTCCACTGTACATCTTGAACTGAACATTAAATGTAAAAATTGCCACAAAAAATAAAAATAACAAAAATCTATAAATCTACCATAATCACCAAAGAAAACAATGAAATTAAAACTGAAGTAACTAATTAGGAAGAAAAAAAAAAGCATAAACTGAAAGAGAAACTGACCTTAGAAGAAGATGAAGAAAGAGTAGATTCGGAGCGATGAGAAGAAAGTGAAGAAAATTGAAAGCTTAATTTTCTAATTCATCTGCAATTGGCAAAACCGAAATTCAAAGCTTAATAGTAAAACTCAGGTTTTGTTGGCTCTGTGTGTCCGTTCTCTTTACGTCTTAATAATTCTAACTAAACAAGTGTGTTTATAATTATAAGTTTTTTTGGGAATTAATTGCAGGATAAGTAATTCTTTTAATTTAAATCTATTGTTGTTAATTTGAATAATTGAGATTTGTTTTTTTGGTAAGAATTAATTGAGATTTATAAATGCATTGTGGGCATTGCACTTTTTTTGTTACAACGACTTGTCCTATTGGGTTGGTGCAAGAATTAAATAGATGTTTGAATTTTTTATTTGGAAAAGATGGAAAATAATTGGATTTAATTGTAATGGAATTATTTGACTAAGTTTTTTTTTGTTGATTGATAATAGTCTCTTTTAATTGCTATGCGGCTGGGTATGAAATTGGGTTTAATTGACTTTTGCCTCCTATTTTTGTTGGATGATTTTATAAGGACAAATAATAGGACTGAATATTTAAATGTTTTTTTTATAAAAAAAAGAGGGCTAATTGCCGCCGGCATTGACTACTGCTGCGTTTGCCTTTTGGGCAAAAGCCCAAATTGAAGAAATGGGTCATACGTGTTTGGAAAAAGAAACTTTTGCTTCATACCCCTATTTTTATTTCTTACTTTTATATTTTTTTAAAATATCAATTTTATTCTTATATTTTTAATTAATTTATTTTTTTATTTTTAAATTTATTTTGTATATCATAAGACTTTGCATAAGAGTTACAGTAGTAGTCATTTTTAAATATTTTTTGTATCGAAATTTTTTGCAAAAGAGTCTCGGTATTCAATTTTAATGTACTAGAAGACTTCACAAAAGAGTTTAGAGTTATTCTTTAAAACTTTCTTGTGTACAGGAAGACTTTGTAAAAGAGTAGTCAGTTTTTGTGTATCGGAAGACTTTGCAAAAAAGTTCTGGTATTCATTTTTTTAGACATTTTGTGTGTGTACCGAAAGACTTTAAAAAAGAGTTTCGGTAGTCATTTTTTAAAAATATTTTTGTATATCGAAAATTTTTGCAAAATAATCCGGTAGTGAATTTTTGTGTATCGAAAGACTTTACAAAAGAGTTCTACTGATTATTTTTTTACTAGAAGATTTTGCAAAAGAGTTTCGATAGTCAATTTTATGTACCGGAAGACTTTACAAAAGAGTTTCGATAGTAATTTTTTAAAACATCTTTTAACTTTTATTTTGTATACCAAAACTCTTTTTTGAGTTACACATCAGTTTTATGACTAAATTTATTTCAGAAATGCATTTCTAAAATATATTTAGTCATGATGTTTCAAAAACGATGAATCATGTATGTATGTTCGAGATGCGTTCAGAAATATATCTTTTGAAATTGGGGATATAATTGTATTTATTCGGTGTGTAAGTAATAAAACAAAGCAATGTGACATAAACTTACAGATGGTGATTCAATTTAAAGAGGAAGTTTATGTAAAGTTTGTGAGCGCAATGCGGAAACATCACTGACCAAGTTCTCGTAATCTGCTTCAAAAGCAACTAAGTTATTTTCTGCTAACAGCAAAGTGGCTGCAGTATCTCAAAAAAACATAGTTTTGCTAACATACTTGTCACTCATTTCCTCCTTTCCATATTCTTTATCATGTTTTTTTTTGGAAGAAGTTATTAAAACTTTTACATTTCAGAATTAACTGAAACATTATTCTCTCCTTTTTCCAAACATGAAAATTGATAGTTAAATACTTTCTCCAAAAAATTGAAAAAACATTTCAGTGTTGAATAAAAAGAATAAGATATCTATAAATCATATATCAGTGTTGCTTAATGTAGTTTTTGGTGTTGGTGTCGTACCTCAAAAAATACGATCCTTCGTGAAGCGTTCGCGCACTCGCAGAAAATAATATCGAAAAGAGTCGCCACCAAAATTTATTCCAATGAAAAAAAGAAAAAACATCTATAAAATCCTTAAAAAGAAAATGAAGATGGTCATCACGACCATATTCAGGTTTGACAGTCGATTACGTAAGGGAAATGTATTGTTAGGTCATGAGGACGAACATCAACATTGGAGCAAGATAAATACACAAGTGAGAGAGACACTATATATTCAACCAAAATCTTAAGGTGATAGGTCTGTGGGTTCTCCCACTTATAAATGTTCGAGTCTCCACATTTACAACCAATGTAGGACTCCAACTCACACTTGATTTATTATTATCAACACCCCCCTCAAAGGTAAGGCCACAATGCTCCCCCTAAAGTAGAAACACTTTGGCCCACATACACTTGTACCGTCATTGACACCTCTTTCCTATGCATTTCGATACACCTCTTCTTGGGAATTTTGATTTCAACGATATTAATACAAGTAAGTCGGTCCCTTTACTCGAACCAAATGCACATGATATAATTTGTTAGGTCATGAGAAAGAGCATAATTTTTTTTGCCCCAACTCTCCCGGACTCAACAATGGTATTAGAGTCGTAGTTTGGCTTTGTGGGGGAGCGGGAGCTGGATCCAGTGTTCAATCTTGTTATAGGATCTGGGATGACTCACAATCGTGAGGGAGAATGTTCGATGCAACTGGAGTGGTTAAAATCTCATATTTCCTATAAAAGGGTGGAATGTTAGATTTATAAGAGAGAGAGAGAGAGAGAGAGAGAGAGAGAGAGAGAGAGAGAGAGAGAGAGAGAGAGAGAGAGAGAGAGAGAGAGAGAGAGAGAGAGAGAGAGAGAGAGAGAGAGAGAGATCACATTCACCCAAAACCTTAAGGTGATAGGTGTATGAATTCTTCTACTTATAAATGCTCATGTCTCCATATTTATAACCAATGTGGGACTCCAACTCACACTTGATATATATTATTCTCAACACTTTTCCTCAGGCGTGAGTCAACGATGCCCCCCTCAAGTGAAATCTCTTCTCCCCTAAAGTGAAAGCTCTTCTTACTTCCGCAAACTCTTATACCGTACGAAGCGTTTCTTACTCACCACCTTTGTAACACTGTTGACACTTATCAACTAAACGTTTCTTACTCACCACCCTTATGGCACCGTTGACTTTCAGTACAAGTAAGTTGATCCCTTTCTCAAACCAAAGGCTCTGATACCATTTGTAAGGTCATAAGGAGGAGCATCAACATTGGGGAAATAACAACACACAAGTGTGAGATATAACACATATTCATCCAAAATCTTAAGGTGATAGGTTTGTGGATTCTCTCACTTATAAATGTTCAAGTCTCTACATTTATAACTAATATGGTGAAAGGGTGAGAAACACAAGAAAGAGGGGTTTGAATTGGGTTTCACCAAATATGATCTTTTGTGGAAATTTAAACTTCAATGCTAATAAGATAATAGAAATAAATAGACACGATTATTTTTATTCTCGTTCACTGTTAACAAGGTTACTCCAGTCCACCCACCAAGGTTATTTCATCTTAGACAATAACTTAATCCAACAATCTCAACTAATTACAATCTCTAAGTGTTAGAAAACAAATTAGCCCTCTCAAGTATCTAAACTAACGACTTAGTCACTTGAGGAATCTCCACTTTGAAAAGTGTTACAAGTGTGTACAAGAATTGCTTCTAAACAAAAAGATGATACAAGATGAAGTACAATAACACAAAAGTGTTTTCTAGCAAGATATGAACAACAGATCCTTACTAATTTACAAAACTATCTTAAGAATAATCTCTTAGATATTTGCACCATATTAGCATGAGTTTTGTTGAGCTTAAAAGCTTATTTTAATGCTTCTCTCTTTTTCATGTAGAGCAGTGCTCTATTTGGTTTGTGCTTCAAGCATCTTCTTTTGAGCTTACAACTTGGTGCTTTACTTCCGCCTTGCACACATACTCTCGTGTTTTCTTCAGCTCTTTATCTTCTTGTTATTATTCTATATTTATCATCTCTTTAGCTCTTCTAGCTTTTCAGAATTGTGGCACTAAACACTTCAACATAATATTTCACTCACAACATTTCTGCGCACTTCTTCAAGCATTCAGATCTTCAATATATAGATCTTGAGAATAGATCCATTGGAGGGTATAATAGGAAACAAATTCCAACTGTAACTTCTCGACGTTCATTGAAGGAATGGTCACATTGTTATACAAAAAGTTGTCATTGCATTACCTTATCTAGGTAGAGGTCACAGACTATTTTGTACTTTTATATTCAACGCTTTATCAACCATTCTTGATCTTTTGTCTTCTAATTCCTCAGAGGCTTCAGATGTATATTTGATGAATCATGTTGTAGAGAGATCAATACTTGTAACTTCAGAACCTAAGTCTTCAGAGTCTCAGATCTTCGTTCAGTAGAACCTTGTCTTAAGAGTCTTCAACGCTTGGTCTTTTAGAAGTGATGTCTTCAGAACTTCAAAACTCGTTCAACAAAACCTCATCTTCAGAATCTTCAGAACTTGTTC